TTTTTTGCTTTGAGGACAGTCTGAAATAAAAATGATTAGGCCCTACTCTCTCAGTTTTGAATATCTTGTGCTTTCCTTGGATGCTCAATTGTGAAAGTACTTTTTGAAATGCTAAATTTTGTTAGCGGCCGATTTGATGCTTTGCATCAATTTTACTTGTTGAGCAACTGTCTCTGTCGAATACGATTCTACATTTACTTTGGTTGACTAGGCGTTTATACCATGTTGTGGCTTCTCTGACAATACCAAATGCTTTGGAGACTGTAAGGTCAGAGTCAAGTTCTCGGGCTCTATCTGATGCTTTAACGAGGTTTGTTCCTGAGCTTTTTAGCAGATTTTTGTCTTGACCTCTATTTGAAAAATTAATTCTGCATAATGTTTTAGTTCTTACAACAAATTTGGATTCTACAATGTTAATTAAACTATATTCAATTAAAACCCGTGATTAAATTCCATACTGAAAGCATTAAGTGAGGAACTAAATTTTGTGGCGGAAGGATTTTTAGAAGAAAATGTCCAATTTTTCTCTTTCTAAATATTTACAGTATTGTTTAGTTTGGATTCCTATTTTTACATGCAGCCTGCAAACAGAGTTATTTTGTGCAGTGAAAGTTTTATTCTACAAGTGGTAATTCAACTTATACCCATAGTTATCTTTCTAAGGAGGAAATTCTTCAAAATCATATATCAGTTTTGAATATTTTTAATATTCCAAACAACCAAAATGAATTTGAATTACCATATCTATATTGGATTCCGAAAATTCATAAAAATCCTTACAAACAAAGATACATAACGGGTTCCCGTAAATGTTCAACCAAGCCTCTTTCTTTACTTCTCACTAAGATATTAAAAGTAGTGAAGGAGAAACTTCAAGAGTACTGTGCAACAATATATTCGAGAAGTGGTGTAAATCAGATGTAGATACTTAAAAATTCCAAGGAACGTTTGGAAAATTTGAAATCACAAGATATTACCAAAATCAACAGCTTAAAAACTTACGACTTTTCAACTTTATACACAACCATTCCCCACGATAAATTGAAGTTCAGGCTTTTTGATATCACTGACAGCTGCTTTTTAAATAAAAATGAAACTCGTAAATTTACTTACCTTGTCATTGGTCATTTGCATCTAATTGACAATATCTATGTGGTTTTTGGAGACCACGTCTTCCAAAAATCTATAGGAATTCCCATGGGTACCAATTGCGCCCCGTTATTCGCAGACCATATTTTGTATTCATATGAAGCAGAATTTGTCTAAAATCTTTTATGTGAAAAGAGGAAAACATTTGCTGTGGTCTTCAACTCGACATTTAGATATATCGACGACGTATTGTCAATTAACAATGGTTATTTCCATTCGTATGTCGATACGATATATCACGGTGAGCTTGAGATAAAAGATACCACAGAGTCTGACACATTTGTTTCATTTTTGGATATTTTACTTGAAAAAGACGTTAATGGTAATCTAACAACCAAGATTTACGATAAACGTGATGACTTTTCAATCGTCAACTTCCCTTACTTATGCAGCAATATACCTTCATCACCTGTATACGGGGTTTATATCTCTCAGTTGATTGGATACGCAAGAGCATGCTCTACGTATGTACAATTTCTAAAACGAGGCAAATTATTGACAAACAAGTTGATGAAACAAGAATATCAGCAGTGTCGTTTAAAGTCATCATTTCGTAAGTTCTATGGTCGATACAATGACCTTGTAAGCAAATACAATTTATCATTGAGTCAAATGCTGACTGACGTTTTTCATAATAATTGTTAGGCCATTATTTACACACTGAATTGTCGACGGATTTTTTCGTTATTTCCCGATCATGACAAGGAGCATACGGCGGGTGTGACCGGTCGGCAGGGGATGCTCACTCCTCCATGGCACCTGATCCCACCTCTGATGTTTTGGAGGTCCGTGTTTGCTCTGCTCCTATTTTGTAATTTTTAATGGACTTTTGAGCTTGAATACTGTTCGTTATCTCCATATATTTCATGCTGGTCCTAAATAATTTATTAAATTAACCGTCATGGATTCTATTATCGTATTGGACAAATATAGCAAATATACTGTGAAAATCCTGGGGAAAAATAGCCAACTTTAGGCTAAAAATTATCGCCATTTTAGTTATATCTAAAAATTAACATCACAGACACCCACTTTTAATCTTAGTTTCTGAATATACAAGATAATTTTAACCATTCTGCTTAAATTCAGAAAAATGTCATTACTTTTAAATGATTTTATTGCCTGTTAAATTTTTAATGCCAGAAAAATGACATTTTTTAGTGCAAAAAGTTCAAATAATTGACTATGCGAAGTACTTTGAAAATTTTATTGTCAAAATTTATAGAGATTATTCAAGATGAAAAATAGATTGCGTTTGTTCCCATAATTTATTTAGATAAAAAATATTAGAGGGAAAACTTTGAAAAATTGATTTATGTGTTAAACGTACAGTGCAAAAAGGTCATATTAAATGCTCTATTGTGCCAAAAGAAGTGCATTGGCCCCCATATAGATTCCAAAAATATACTTGATAAAAAATTCTCAATACTTTTGATAACAGGATCCAACCTCCTTAAAGCAATCAACTTGCTGTGATTTGAATTCATCATTTCGTTTGTTCTTTTTCAGTTCGTCCTTGATTACATTCGGTCTCTAAATATATTCTTCTCCAAGCAGAGAATTGCAACGTTGTTAAGGCAAAACTTGCCATCCATATTTGTAAATACTGAAGAAATACATATTTGTAAACACTGAAGTAAATATTGAAGAAAATACTGATGACAGGTTTCATGTTTTGTACGGAAGAGTTTTTACAATGCTCAGGAAAATCAGGTTCCTGAGTTAAACCATGGGCTGCTAACAGACAACGCCTTGTGCATGGGAAATGATGCAGCTGAAATTCTTTAACACTATTTCAGAATGAATTACTTTTGCCGTTCCTTGATCATATTAGTTCTCATATGAAATCCAGGATTCTACGAACTATCCAGTTGTTGATTTTGGGGCTCTTACTTGGTCTGGCGTTATCTAGTCATGTTTTATCAGATATCATATTATTATGCATTTATTATTAGCAAATTTTAAATTCCGAAGCATCTTATTTGCAAATAGAGCAATTTTTACATTTTCTTTGAAAAAAAATCAAATAAAATAATTTAGAGCTAATATCAATCTTTCTTTGTTGAAACCATATCTCAAATGAGATGCCGTAGAGATCCGTTAAATATAAAATTTTGGTGTAGCATTTCTCCTCAATGTACTTCTGTCTTTTACATTGGCTGGATGTCGCTATGTCTATATAGTTAAGCGTGTCAAATATAAACATAAGGCCAAAATAAAAAATACCTTTGTTTCCCCTAACGCGACCGACCCACTTAAATCGCGCCGACTGGAAAGTTTTTTTTTAATAAGATTATTCAAATATTTTTTTTTATTGTTTATCAACTTTATAAAATACGATTTTATCAAAATCTGTTTTTATCAGAATGGCGACTTTTGTTCTACTCTGATTTGGCGCCCACAACATGTGCTCACAAAGGGTTAGTTCGTGTTATAAAACAATGGCGGCGTATCGATCTTATTATATATCTTTAACTTATTAGAATCCTACACTCTTGAAACATTTCGTGAATTGAATATATCATGACTAAAGAGTGTTTTGATGGTATTTACAAATGTGTCTACTAAAATTAACGTACATGCACGTAGTAAGCATGGCAAAGCCTGCCTCAAGAGCAGATGAGGGGCCCTTGTGTATACATATCAATAAACTTCACTGGATTTCATTCATTTGGATCTAATAAAAAGTTAATATATGATTCTATTTTTACTATATGGGACCATAGCAGTTGTAAATATGTCTTTGTATAATTATTTCATCTTGATAAATATAATTCAGATGTCGTTTCTTCATTCCTTTTATTTATGGGTTAAACTTCGCGACTTTTAACAATAGATATATGGCATTTTAATCATTTTTAGATATGGTTTGGTTGAATGAAATATTGTTTATACATGTACACTCTTTCCAAATAGTGTAGAAATCTTTAAAGTTGGCTTATGGTACAGCCTCCTGAGAGGTCCAACGTACATGTATTTTTCTTTAGTTAGGCCCTTGAAAATAGGTTGTTTCTTTGCTTTAAAATCCCTTTAAAATTGTTTGTCTGACAACATTTGAATATCTACCTGGTGGAGGGCTCCAATTTTAGACTTTTACTCGACACCTATGGCCATTGATAATTAAGCATCAGTAAGGGATCTTTTTGATGCCAAAATCTATACTACGGTCTCATTCGACTGACCAGTCTCCACATCCCACATCGGGACCTGTGACTTAAAATAAGCTCCTAAATTACGTCCCGACTCTAAAACGAAACACTCTATAATCACTGCGCCACGCGAAGCCCTTGACATTTTGCCTGTGTAAGCACTTGAAGATGATAGACTGGTAGGTTTGAAAAATATACTCGGATGTCCGATGGTTGAGTATTTGCGAATCTTGTCCTTTTGTAAATATTCGATTTCAATAAATTTACACTGGCCTGAGATATTTCACAAGTTCAAATGAATAATATTTTTGAATTAATTTACCATACTTGTTGCTTTTGAATTTCATTTGTATGATATTCAGTTTAAAAATCGGTTTCTTTCGTTTTTTCTTATTTAAAAAGATATTATTCAATTTTTCAGAATGCATTTTCATAACTGCTGTCAGAAAAAAAAAATAATTTACCTACCTACCTACCCTACTTCAGATTTTAGGGTCGGGTTAGGGGAAACAAAGATATTTTTAATGATGGCCTAAAGTATCTTTGGTCTGTCGAATACTAAACGTCGTGTCGATAGATCTAGATGTCTTTTCGATTAAATTGGTTCTTGAGATTTGTGTATCGATTATCTTTCCATAAATTGTTGATTATGGTTACCAAATGGGTCAGTAAGCTTCATTAAAAACACAAACAAGAAGTATATTTGACTTTATACAGTGTTTATTTCATGAGATACATTATTTATAGAGTTAGACTTATATAAATATGGTGTGCATGGCAGCACTGATTTAGGAAGAGTCCTCACTGGAGAGAGCGGAGAAGCAGAAACACTGACGTCATCAGAACTGCCAAGGTACCTGTTAACAAATCGGCGCCCTGAAACATTAATGGATTAACAATGAAACAAGCTATCAGAATAGTAAATTATTTTTTTCTTTCATAATATTTATAGATTTTCTGAAATCCCTTTGACGGCCGGAGGTTGTTAAGAATGTTCATCAGAAAGGGGGTGGGGTGGTTTGGAGAAAAAAAAAATCATGAAAAAATATAAATCACTGTATCAAAAAATTATTTGCATCAGGAAGATGTATGTTTAATTTGATACAGACAGAAGATCGGGATCGATCCTACGGTGTCTAAAGGCGAAGAAAAAGTATGCGCGAAAGATTTTTTTTCTCTCTCCTTTCCTTCTTCCTTTTAGTAAAATTCAATATTGAGAAAATACAACTTTCTCTAATGGGCCATTCCAAATATGTTATAAAAATCCTCCCCTGGCGCCCAGCGCAGGGGATCAGAATTTCTATTTTTGCCTATTTTTACCCTGTGGGCGGTGGAAAGGATATTATCTCTTCAATATTAGATCTAGATATAGTTCTTACCCCGAGTTTTAATCCATACACCCTGAGGCCGAAGGCTGTATAGAATACAACCCGGGGTAAATCCCCGTACACCCTTGATTGGACCTGGATAACGAATTTATTTCTATGTAACCAAATAAATTCTCTGTAAACCCAAGTCCAATCAATGGTGCTTCAAACTATCGATAAGTTTTACTACGTGCTACAATGCATCGTGACGTCATATTATTTGCATTTTGTGATATGGTGACGTCACGGTATTTACCCCTGGCTCAAGACAGGTACACGTACGGAAATTTATACCCGGTTTACTAGTATTAACCAATAAAGTCTCTACAAGCTATTTATAGTTTTTTAAATAAAATGCAATTACACAGATAATTTGAATGCACTGGTACATTAATGATTTACTGGACTTATATTGCACGAACAGTTAAATAACATGACTGAAATATACGCAAATGACTATATATCTTGCACCATTTTTAAAAGCTTCATCACATGTTTATCCCTGCATCGAAATGGATGTCTCTCGTTAAATCCCTTTTTGTATTCTGATGCATAATCAAATAAACATGTGTGCATTTGTATATATATACTTGAATTCAAAATAATTTAATTTCTAGTGATTAAATCGTTTAAATACTGAACAGATTCTACTTGGAAATGCATTTTTTCTTCTTATTTCAATAAGCTCTTTTTCTAGTGGCGCAATATTGTTGACGTTTCGATGCAATGAAAAACAGCCGATGGGAAAGTAAAAAGGTGTTTCAAAAAGTATTCGAATTACCTGGTAGTTAAAAATCTCCATGAGTTGTGATTGGATATGAATGTTTTCCAGTTAGTTATGTATTTTCTATCCCCTCGCCAAAGGCGAGTTTCCAAAGTGTCTCAGAATTTTGATAGATCTATATTTGCTATATCCAACCTAATGAAATATTTTCGCTCGACAAGCCTCGCGAACTGTAAATTATTCCAACTTCCTGGATAAAGCAAATATAAAATCAGACAATATTACACGTCAGGATAATTGAACTCATATATTGGTGAATATTGGCAGGAGTTGGCTGTACAAATCCACAAGGTTGTGAGGTAGTTAATAAATAGTCTATTCTTTTAAAAAATATCTATTCTTTTAAAATATACTAAAAGTGTTGAGAATTTTAGCGATCAATATTTTACGTTTCATTGAGTGCTCAATTTATATAACGTATTCAAGTATGCCCCGAAACATTCCGGATGTGAGCGTTCGATGTCGAACCTCCGTAGTAAACAAAGCATGTCGTCTGGTCAACCGCTCAACAGCAATATTTATGATGGATAGTGGGAGCTTGGTATGATGTTTCTATTTTCACTCAAATTTGGAATTATTAATTAATAATTTAATTCCTATAAACCTCAATAAAAATCTCAAAAAGTAAATCATAACTTTGGTATGGGGTTTTCGGAATGATTTGATATTGAACTGACGTCGATATTGCAAAGTTTAAATTTAAATACCGATACTGAAAAATTCTCATTAATTTTGAGTTATTTAATTTGAATAATGAATATAAATCAATGAGAAAATTTCTAGCTACATAATAAATAAGTTATTGAAATATTGGTGAATATCTGGCGCTCCTTAGTTGTACGACTGCACTCATACTCGTGCATTTGCTTTTTAAAAGCCAACTAAGTTCAATAACCCTATATTATTATTTATGCCACAGTTGTAATTTATTTATTATTATTATTAAAGATATGCTTTGCACAATATTAAAACTGAACACGACTCGTAAATAGGCATAGGCCATATTAGTTTTCGTATCTCCGATATCAGCACCAGGGTATACCTTTCGCAATCGTTACACCTGACTGCTTTCTTGTCACGGATACCAACGTGGAATGGACGACGCGTGTTCGTGTTGGTTATCGTACATTACCGTTGTCTATAACAGACAACTCTTACAAGAGATACATGTAATAACTCTCAGGAAGTGGAATTCTGAGGATGGAGAACAGCAGAATTTGTACCACCGCACTGACATGGTATCCAGAAGGAAAAAAGGAAATTAGGCCGGCCGAAAACAACTTGGAGAAGAATCACGGAACAAGAAAGATTACAGCTGGGATGGAATAGCTGGGCGTCAGCGAGGGCAGCAGCCAAAGACAGAGACAGGTGGAGGAAGTGTATCGGGGCCGTAAGTGCCAGCGGGCATGAAGGGGATAGGTGAGGTGAGGTGACGGTTGTTTACATGTTATTGCAGTTTACGTGTATTTGTGTTTGTCTGTACTGCACTGACCTGATGTAAGTTTCTTTGGTATCTTTCTCTTCTGCCGTGTAAGAAGCACACAGTTACTTTTGTCGCTACCGAGTTTTACAATAGCTATGTAGAATATGTCCGTCCACACCGGTGAAAACTGATTACACTGAACCGAGACCAAGTGAACGGCTTATATAGGGGCCGTACAGCTAACGAAAAAAGTAGAGTAATATGGCGGACAAACATAGATCTTTGCCTTTTACAAATCGTGTTCAGCTTTTACTGTTTAAGTGCTGTATTCCGAGTGGCGCGCATAGCCAATCGAATACAACCGGTTTTGCAGGCATGTGAGAGCTATGTGCAAGTATTTTGTTTTGTACAGGCGAATTTCTATTTTAAGCACTCCTATAGGTATGAGTGACCAGTGACATGATTTCACTATACTAATTTATATGCATGTTTTTGCTAACTCGTGCACTATATAAAGTAAGAAACCCGCCAAATTCACCACCCTAAGCTTCTGTGCCTTTACGGTAGCAGATCGCATATTTGTTCAACTTCATGTTGATTAAATTAATGTTTATACTTTATTCCTAACTGAAATACTTGACGCCTTGTAAGATGCACATTATCTTGTAATTCATTGACTTGTAAAATATATATAACGATCTACTCACTGGCAGTCGTATTAATATCTTAATTTCCCTTACTTTTCGTTAATGTTTATAAATATGTCTTTATGTTTCATGATTTGTTCGTGTCCATTGTCTTATACGAGTATATGTGATCTGAGAGTGTTTTTCTATTTTCAAGGTTTTGTCTTTATCCATAATTAAATTCTACTGAGATTAAACAATTTTTCTTTTAATTGACAAAGCAAGACCGTGATCCTGCGACATATATATTCAAAGTTAAAGTTTGTTTGGTTATACTCACACTCTTTGGAGTTGTACTGGTATCATTTTGTGCCATTACTGTAAAAAAAAATGAAATAAAAAAGAAATAAAAAGAAAATCACGACAAATTTTGGGTTAGATATGCACACTTTAATTTTTCTGTACTGTTTTGGTGATGTATACAAAGAGGGTGTTGCAGTTCTTTTGTTATTTTCCCTAAAGTTGTAGCAGTTTAAAAGAAAAAAAATTGAGTCACAGAAAACGGTCTTAAAATTTTTCAGTTACAACGGTATATACAGCACAATGTAGAACAATAATTAGAAACTGCATATCGACTTCCAATTTGTCATTAAATGAAATGTAAAGAACTGCGAACGATAACATTATTCTCCCGCCTACCTCCAAGTCAATTTTCAAAAGTTAACATATCTGAACGATTTTTCATATTTATACAGATATTTATATGAATTTTCCTTAAACATTACTTCTTTGGGAAAATAAAGAAAGGTAACTCTATAATTTGGGTAAAACTTGTGTTTTTCACTATAGAAATCAACGGAAAACGAAAAATATTTTTAAAACATCCCCCCCCCCCGTGAAACAAAAATTCCTTTTTACAGGTAATATGGACTGTCATTTCACAAATTCAGACCAAAGCTTTTTGTGTTTCACGGGGGGGGGGGGGGGGGGGGCATATATTTACAGACCAAAAAACTACAAAAACGCTAATTTTTTCACCAATTTCAAAGGGTTTTACAACTAAAACATTGTATTTTATTAATAATATATGTTTAATTTTATATGCGTAAAACATAAGAAAAGATTTAAGGAACATTTATTCATATCCAAGAATATTTTGAAATGTGTTGATGCTTGAAAGCCCGATTCAATGGAAAATATCGTCCACCCCCCTTATTTAAAGAGCTGCAATTAGGGGTAATTAACTATTTAACACTGGCATTAAAATTATCAGTCAATTACCATTGAACTCTCCTTTGCATTCAACAAAGAATTTGCGGCCAAATTGCCATAAGTATTGAATTAAATGGGTGTAAAATGTAGGCGGGAATCGAGAGTTAGCGTGCGTAGTTCTTAGTCATATAGCAAAATAAGTCAAGTTTTCTGTTTTTCAAATAGGAAATCCCCATTGTTCTGAAAAATTGCCCCCTTGAAACAGAATGAATTTGATATACGCATAAAGAGAAAGGGTTTTTCTGCAAAACTGCCATTTCCGATTTTTGTTCCAAAGAGGCATATTTTTGAAAATCACAAAAATCGAATAAAAATTATTATCCATCCGAAATGCAAAATGTGCACATAAAATAGAAAATGAAACTTCATTGTCGGAGATGGTCTAGTGGTAAAGCTTGTGGACTCTATTCAAAAATTCTTTTACCTGAGAATGGGTTCGAATCCTGGAATGGCTGGTATATACATATTTTTTTTCTTATATGATGGAAGTATAATGTAACATCTCTCTTGAGAGAGAAGGAGGGAATGTTAGAAAGTTAATGGGTATTTTAAATGCATGCAGAAATAAATTGTTTTCCTTGATATTGTGATCTAAAACTAATAAAACACATATTTAATGTTATTATTTAGTGGCGATGTCTTAAAAAATAAAGTACTATCATTTTTAAATAATTCAATTTTTTCATACACATTTTTATATATTGAAAAATATTAACGCACGCTGTCTACAGTACATCTTTCAAAATGATGTGCGAGCCCACTGCGAGATGCACTTGCCATTAATTGTGCTGTGTATCGTTCTAACTTTTCTCGTGCAATATGGCGACAGCTAGTGACCATAGATGTGAAAAAAAGTTTACTTACAGGTCGCCAGTCTATGTTAGGAAAAAACTATGCATGAAATGAACGTAAAATATGAAATGTTTTGTTATAACAAGCTGGACATACCCGTCGTATAAATAAAGTCATCTACGTAGCATTATCTATATTGAGAGATAACTCTTCATGCGTTGTGGGTATTTACTATCATTCCAGTAACAGCGTGTCACTTTGCTTGATCAAGCTTGATAAAGTTTAACATGTTGATTACCATATTACTCATCGATTGGTTTGATTTCAATGAAAACAATACTACTTTGCATATGAAATACAGAACCCAGCAATACTGACCAATTGTATTGAACGATTGTTCACGAGAATGCAGTAAACAATAATCACATGTGGACAGGCAAAGCAAGTTTTAATCCTTATAATGATGACATTGATCGCTATATAGTATATGGTAGCAGAGTATAGCCTTACTTATATCATGCTTTAAATTTTCTCATGTACGAGTATTAACTCCATTCGGTCAAATCACAAAAAATATGACATACTACTTTGAGGACAGAAAACGGGCTTTCACCGACCACGTGTTGCTGCTGACTGCCGCAATGGTAAACAATCAATCAATATGATTGGCCAGTGTTATCTGGGTATTGTTGGATTCTGTGTTTCTTATGCAAAGTGGCATTGATTTCATTCAAATCAAACATCCAATCGATGAGTAATATGGTAATCAATTTGTGAAACTTTAGCACGTTTGATCAAGCAAAGTGACACGCTGTTATTGGAATGATAGTAAATGTCCTTCTCGATTTAGGGAATATAAATCACGAGTTTCTGCAACACCCTCTTTAAAAAGTTTATAATACTTACCCATCGACAAAAAGAAAACGAGTAAAAGGCAAAGGATTTGTTTCAGCATGTTGTTGTGTAAATTACCCACACCTAAAACAATAAATAAACGTAATTATAAAAATAATTGAATTACCCAGCTTAAAACAATAACGTAATTACTAAAAGGAAAGAATAATTATCAACATCTAAAACAATAAATAAACAACGTAATTATCAAAAGGAAATTATATGTATGTAGTATTCACCCATATCATCTGTCAGCGTGTTTTAGTGTGCCAATTAAAAGTGGAGGGCTCTTGAGAGAATTTCATGCATTAAGTTAAAGATAAAAGTGTTAATGCATTTACTCCTTAAAAATAATGCACATGTAAAATAAAGCGTTGAATTCTTATACTGGTCACAATAATTCAACTTATGCTGGTTAGACGAGTTCAATACCACTTTTAACTAAAAAAGAAAGAAATGTGAAATTGACTTCATAAATTATATTATAAAGTGTTGATCCCGGACATTTTACTGCTATAGGGTCCAGGAGTAAAGAGAACAAATTTTACTGCTATATGATCCAGGAGAAAAGAGAACAAATTTTACTGCTATAGGGTCCAGGAATAAAGAGAACACATTTTACTGCTATAGGGTCCAGGAGAAAAGAGAACACATTTTACTGCTATAGGGTCCAGGAGAAAAGAGAACACATTTTACTGCTATAGGGTCCAGGAGTAAAGAGAACACATTTTACTGCTATAGGGTCCAGGAGTAAAGAGAACACATTTTACTGCTATAGGGTCCACGAGTAAAGAGAACAAATTTTACTGCTATAGGGTCCTGTAGAAAAGAGCTACATGATCCAGGAATAAAGAAAGGAATTTTACTGCTTCATGCTCCATAAGTAAAGAGAACTAATTATACTGTAGTGCATTCTTTATATATGATCAACTAAGCCTTGGATGCTAAGTTCTTGATAAAGCCTACACTAGGTTTGACCACTTTTGATATTTCTAAAAAAAAAAACAAAAAAAAACACACAACCAAAATCCAAGCAAGTTCAGAAAAATAAAGCCAAATATTTTGTATTGTACTGTAGAGGAATGTATGCATTTCATGTAGTCAGACTCACAGCATTATTGCACAAATCTAAGAAACTCTTTTTTCCCCCAAGTTTATTAATGCATTATATAATTACAAGATAGGAAAATATAGATTCATTACTCATTAGCTATTCATTAAAATGGAATATATTTATTTCCTTAAAGGAACTGGTCAAATTAATAATGTATTCGACAGTTCCTTGTTTGTGACGGGATTACCCTCTGAACACAAATACAAAAGAGCACGAAATAAAATTAAAAAAAAAAACCTTTCCTGTCATTTATATATTCAGTACAATGTAAAGAATTGAAAACATACATGTATATTCTCACTACGGGCATAACTGGGTATATTGGCCCTAGTCTTAAAAATGCATTCCAATAAATTGATAAAAGTTTTCTAAATCTTCTCTCTGTATTTAATATATAACGACTATAGATAAAATACTTTTGTATATAACTAATGGTGCATAAAATTCAGATAATGTTTTATTGAGGCTACGTGATTTATCTTTGGTGACAAATCAGACTTCATTACTGCCTTCATTGTAATATGTAAAACAGCCCATTATTGAAAGGTACAAAGACCATCCCAATCCTAACTACTCGGTCATTTCCGTTACCGGTGTCGAATGGGCCCGATTAAGGCAAGAAAAAAAGATGAAAAAGATGAAAATATTTCCTTAAAAGAAAAGTAAAGAAAGAAACACTGCATATATATTACATAATATACATATAATTTATTCTAGCTTATCGACAACTTGTTTTCTGTTGACGATATAATAAATATTTGATGTTATTTTCGAAAAAAAAAGGTGTGAGTTGATAACCATATCACGAAAACATTAATTCCTAGTTATAATTTTTAGGCCGGTATACACGCTGCTTTTTTCTGTACACACGCTGCAACTTACTGCATAAATCTCTACTATTTTCCCTCCAAATTTGTCTAAAAACACTTGAACAAAGACATCGTATCATCCAGACAGGTCTTAAAATTATTATAACTCCACAATCTTAATAAAAGCATCCGTTGAACTGCATGAAGCAAGGTCTTTTTTTAGACGTGTAGAATAACACTGCATCAATTCTAAAATCTTAATAAGCGTTTGGTCATCTTTTTGTATTCGCCGTTAATAATAGCATACATTTTAATTGTTAGACTTTTCTTTTTTCAGCCAATTTAGACGTAGAAATATAACACTGCACAGCCTTTGTTTTATTACTGCTGATAAAAATTGTATGCAACTCTGCTTGAAATACAGCAGTTCAGTCTCATGTGTCATCAAATCTGTTACATTAAACTGATTTTTACCGGTGCACTTGCTGCAATATTTATTGCAGCGTGTGCATCGGCCTTAAAATGATTGTTATAAATGCACAGCAATTAAGGTTTAAAATCGTAAAGAAATAAAGGTATATATAGTTGAATTCGTTTAGAATTCTCAAAGCATTAAAAAAATTCTTTACCTTGGTTTAAAAAAAGGAATGCTCGCTCAGTGCTGCTTATTCCAATACTCACACGCCCTTCACAGATGCAAATAAGCTATGCGCGCGCACATTCCTCCACATCCCAGAGTAGGAAGGAAGTGAAATGCAGATAACATTATGAATACTTCACAATGATTTTTTTATTTAAAAAAGTACTTTGTTGAACACGTGACCGGGTTTTTGTGAATTTCTAAACTAACACTTACAATAAAACAGATCAGTAAGTGGATTGTTTGCTCGACTAAGTTCTTTTTTTTTAATAACAATTCATCAACATATACCTCACAAGACTGAGATAGAAAGTAATTTTTTCTCCTCCAATGGGCGAAAAAATACTGGCTTTAGGATTATTGTCTGTTTGTCAGCCTTTACTGTCGGTCCAAATGTTTAGTTAGCTTTCTGTCTGTCACAAAATTGTGAAAGTGCCATAACTATCGGATCCTTAAATTGTTGTTACTGTTGACAAACAAATCGACTATTATTTCTCATCATGAAGTTGCTGGTGCATCAAAACATTGTGAATAGATTTTTTAGAGGTAATAAACTCAATGGAAATGGGGTCAAGTTATAGGTGTGGAACCTAAGCCTGATAAATTAAATACATAAGTAGCTGAAGATGTGTACAAAAAATGAATTACTAATGTTCGCTGTGGGACCGCTACAACGCCTTTATAAATGGTCTAATACTCCGTAAGATCTGTAATTTGTTAATTTCAGCGTGCATACGAAATTTTTAAGAATCTCTTCCCTTTTATTCAAGTGCAGTAAATCAGGAAGTTGTTGATTTGTTTAAAGCTCTTGGAATATTTGAAATATTATGTGGTTTGGGTAATATTTTCAACAGCATAATCTCTATCTTTTATGGTACAGTTGAACTTCGGTATCTCGAACATGGATATCTCGAATACCATGGATATGTTGAAGTGATTGGGAAATCCTAACCACATATTTCTTAAGTATTTTACCCTCGATATCTCGAATCCTCGGAAGTTCTTTCTCGGTCCCATCGAGTTCGAAATAACGATGTTTGTCTGTAATTACTCGAATAAAATACACTGTAAACGGCTTTTTTAAAGAATCAGGGAACCAAAAGTTCTGTCAAGATAAACTGGGATCAGACGACAGCTTCGGAGCTTCCATTTAGGCAGTTTACAACTTTTGAAATAAATAGAAAGGGTGATTCATATTCAGTCTGGTGATGGTAAACGAAACAAGCATACTGAGAGTATTGCATAAGCAATGCTTCTCCCCTACCGGCATGTGTAATCTGGTAACCCTTAAAAATTGAAATGCTCTTAATTCCGTCAAAACTCATCAAAGGGGAACGGAATGCAAACTTTATCTGTAACTCATCAAGATTGTCACAACGGTACTAAAAATCAGCGCAATATCTGCAAGCGTGTAGAAAAAAAGTACGGAAAACAAAGTGGGACAGACTCAGTACTATGTTTGATTTTACAAAGAGGAAAAGGGAACCAACGTCGGCCCCAAATTAACTCGGGATCGACCTGAACAGTACTCTGTTTAGCCCCCCCCCCCCCGTTGATCGAAGATTCAGGGGCATTATAGTTTTTGCTCTGTCCGTCCGTCTAACTGTCTGTTTGTCCGTAAAAAACATTAACTTTGCCCATATTTTTTTTGATCTATTGGAACACAAACAATTTTGACTTTTTGATCCCGACTTTAGAGTTTGACCTTCTTTTGAAAAACTTCAACCTTGGCCATAACTTTTGAAAAGTTGAAGCTAGGGATTTCATATTTCTTGTGTCCAGACCTTCCCTAAGATGCAAATAATTTTGACCTTGAGTTTTGAGTATGATCTTCTTTTGAAAGGTATAACTTTGGCCATAACTTTTCAATGGTTGGTGCTACGGTTTTCTTTTTTTAACAGATGTTTTCCTTGTGACAAGAAATTTCTTTGGGTGCAAACAATTCTGACTTTGACCTTGGAGTTTGACCTACTTTTGAAAAAAAAACTTTAACCTTTGGCATGTTTTGAATTCTTGATACTAGGACTTCTATATTTCGCAAGTATTTTTCTTGTGACAAGAAATTTCTTTGGGTATCAATAATTTTGACATTTTGATCTTGACCTTGGAGTTTGACCTCCTTTTGAAAAACTTTAACTTTGGCCATAAGTTTTAATTGCTTGGCGCTAAGGCTTTCGTATTTCACTGATTTATTCCTTGTGAAAAAGTTTTTTTTGAAGTACCAATATTTTTTACTTTGTGACCCTGACCTGGAAGTTCGACCTTCTTTTAAAAACTTTAACTTTGAACATAATTTCTGAATGGTTGCTTCAGGGGCTTTCATATTTCACAGGTGTATTTCTTGTGACAAGACCTTTTTTGGGTACCAACATTTTTGATCTCCTTGACCTGGAGTTTAACTTGCATTTGAGAAACTTTAACCTTTGTCATGAGCCTCCATACGGGGGCATCAGTATTTCAAAAACATATCTTGTTTTTAAAGAAAATACCTTGCAGCCAATGGAAATAACCACTGGAATAATACTACATGTACAGTAATTGTTCTTTAATAAAAGCATAACCTCACTCATTTATGAAACATTTAAGATGCATATCCAGTCAAGCGATTCGATGTTCCAATATCAATCTCAGCCAGGAACGATAACTCTTGAAATTATTATTTAATTTAAAAAGTTTCAAAATGAGGCTTGAAATTTTTTTTTATATCATGCATCTCAATATGATTCAAGGTTCTGTGAAGTCTTAGAAACGGTCTTGTTAAAAGTTGACATTTGTACCCCATAAAAGTCCAAAAAATACATTAGTAAAGAAATCGAATTTCCTCTAATCTAGCATTTGATACCAATGTTTATTAGTATGACATGAAACAGGAAGTGATCTGTAATGTCCTGCAATAGCACCATTATATATCCAGAGTAGTCTTCCGCTACGCTCACAACATCTCTGTCAACGCTCGTTGTACAAGATTCTTGTACAAATTTTAAACGGTGAAAATTTGAAATTTAAATAATAATTAATTATTGTAATTATCGATAAAGATGATAATTCATCATTTATTTTAAATCTATAATCCCTCAAAACAACTTATCTTCAAAGTTTTAAGGGAAATATTTTGCGGAGTAAAAATTAAAATCTAATCTTAATTAAAAAATCCCTTAAAGTTGTAATAAATTAAAATAAATAATGTTTTCCGATAAGAAATATAATTAAAAACGATTATTTATACAACTTTTAATCATTTACGTCTGTATCTTCACTTAGGATACATAAGGCTTTTCTGATAACATTTGGACATGTCATAACAATTTTTGGTGGTGGTGGTTGAGGGGGGGGGGGGGCATTACATTATAGTTTAACACAAAAATATTTTAGAAGTTCCTATTATCTGATAGCAACCTGTTAAAAAGCCGATTAATAACCTATACCTGATACAAATGAACCTCTCCGAGGTTGGTTCGTTGTGGAAAGGTTTTTATTTAGATACTCTGTACATCATGCGAAGACCTATATGCAGAATTTTCAAAAGGATCTCGGAAAATTTGCTGTTGCCTTTAAAAAAGAATAAATTAAAATATAAGAGACAATAGAGGTATAAAACCAGCATATAAAAAGAGTACATATCTTAATTCTAAACATTTTCCATAAAGAGTAAGATATGAAAAAAGGGGTCAACAATTATGCCATATACCGATTGTACTTCGTAGCAGTAGAAATTGCCAAATCTACAGACTATATACAGCAAACAAACAAATATCAATACCCCTATCTTTCCCCCCACGTCCCTTTGGTTGTAATTGTGGGAGGTTAGGGTACATGTCATATAACTAATATAGGAAATTCGATATGGAAATGCGCACAAATTTTCATGTTGATCGCTCTTGGAAATAATTCCCAATCCAATCATCCATAAACTTGTAACATTAGTTGGCTCGAGCGCAATTAAAATTATCTGAACTTACTGTATGTACTTATTTATTTGTTTATACATGGTCGTTATAATGACCTTGTTTGCGAATGCAGCCTATTCCTTCGTTAAATTTTGGCTGACATGTCGTTTCATACAAATTGTAAGACCTAAATTAGACTAGGGATTACTCCGTTATCAATACAGAGGGCTTAAGGTGGATGTGACCAGTCGACAAGGGATGCTACTCTTCCTGGGCACCTGATCCCACCTCCTGCTGTTTTCAGGGGTACATTTTTTGCCCTGTTCTCCATTTATAGTGTTTGTAAGATTTATTGTTTTATTATTGTTCGTTATCCCACTTCTTCATTATAGTGAGAGACCATTTACAAAACTGCTAATAATCACCAATGCTCAATAAGGAAACTTGTTTTGTTGGTATTAAACGATCAATTAACAACAGATATCATGGGGATTAGGTCTAAGTACCCAATTACACAAAGCCATTTAACTTCCTGGTTCCATAGAATTCAATACCTTTTAGGATCTCCGAAATAGTAATGCTCAATCATTACTCTCCTAAGTACTACAAAATATATAATGTCCTGTATCATATTTTGAATTCTAGAATGTGTGTGTGTGTGTGTGTGTGTGTGTGTGTGTGTGTGTTTTACAACTCTTTGAACAGAATCTTATACTTATAAATTAATAAATTTTGCAAATAAACTCCGAAACGGCTGCAACAGAGTTCTTACTTACTCCTCTAAGAATAAACTAGATACAAGATGATGTCCGTAAACTATATTTAGATTTCACTCGCATAGTAAGTATCGTACATTAAATTAAAAGTCTTCTTTCATTTTCTATATACAGCCATGAAATAGCAAAAACGTGAGTACGGTGGCGTTTCCGGTTGGCGGATCTAAGTTACTGGCAATTTTTATTGAAACTGACAACAAGCAATCGTTTATTTATTTCATAAAAAGTCATCACTGAATTATTCAATCAAAACTTGATTTCAATGATATAAAAGAAATAAGTTGTGGTAACCGATTAAAAAGGGAAAGGTGCAAATTATTTTCGTCATCACCGATCTCAATATTGACGGAAGCTTCTAGAACATCATAAAGTATCGAGCCCGATGTTAAAATGAAAAACGTTGCGTGAACATTAAAAAAGCCT